ATTTCCCGATATTTTTTTCCCGCGTACCGCTTCAACAAAGCGCGGCATCTCTTCAGTCTCAGGTCCATTAGACGAGCATTCAAACGATGTCCTGTTTTTCTTCGATATGCCCGAAGCCCTAAGTCTTCATTTAACACCCTTTTCACCGTGGTTCTGCTTAACCCCATCTGAAGGGCCAACAGTTTCTGCTTACGTTTGGGATTTCTTTGAATTCGCGCCTTCACAGCTTTTATCACTGCTGGAGTCCTAACAGACCGAGGGCGACCACTTCTTGACCTGTCATCTACACTAGAGTCTTCATTGTATCGTTTGATGGTACGATAAACGAATCTTTTGGTTATATTCAAATTTTTCAGTATGTTAAAAATTTGAATTGGCGCGTAACCGCAACGATGCAACGCAATAACTGCAACACGGTCTTCTTTAAGCGTCCACTCCATATTTAAAAATGAGTAAAATTCTAAAAGTATACATTTTTATTTTCATGAACAATTCGAAATTCGAATTCAATAAACTTTTTTGTGGCCAGCATTCTAAAAGAAAAGTTTTTACTGTGTGACAATACTTATGACCTGACTAGTTATATAGCACAACCAAGCGTTTCTGATTTAGATATGGACGAAGACAAAATGAATGCACATCGGGAGAAAACAGCACAGTGGCCTAGCGATTTGAACTAACTGACCGGTAATAGCGAGCTCCAAATCGAGTTCTCCGATCAGTTTCCGGCTGCTGTTCATCGTCTTGCGGCCGCACGACCTGCGAACACAAGCACGCGCGCTCAGCACCCGGGGCTCACTCGGGACCTGCACTGGTGATAGGACCTCTTGCGAGTCCGCACGGGTAGGTGCCACCGCCCCGCCTATTTCTGCTGTGACAGTAATGCCTTTCGGTTTGAAGGGTGGGGTAGCCGTTGTAACTATACTGAGACCTTAGAACTTACATCTCAAGGTGGGTGGCGCATTTAGGTCGTAGATGTCTATGGGCTCCAGTAACCACTTAGTGTGGCAGTAGCCATTGTACAACGCAAGACATTTGACAGATGCCTGAATCTCGCTTACGACATTTTCAAGATAAGCTTGCATACATACAAGTTCCTAACAACAACATTTGGACCGTCGGTCTACCGAGCAATGTCACCTGCTCGGTGGAAGATCTTCCACCAGGTGGGCTGTGAGCTCGTCCACCCATCTAAGCAATAAATAAAAAAACCTCGGCCCCCCGGAGCTCACTCGGTCCCCCGTCCCTCGGGGCGCGCTTGGGAACTTCGGGAGCCGGTTAGGTGCAGCCCGCGCGCTCCATATCTGCCCTCCAAACATTCATTTGTAAATTGATAATATTTATTTATTTATTTATTTATGTACACACAAAAAGGAAGACATAGTACAGAGTAATAGGAAAATTATGTACAAAGGCACTGCTTATTTCTTTAAGAAATCTCTTCCAGCAGACCTGCTAGAAGATTATGAGAATAATAATTAAAAGTCTTATCACTTTGTGTGTAAAACAGCTAAAATAATGAAATACAACATGAGAATTATAGTAATGCACATACACATAGCAAATATTGTTAAACTTGAATACAAAATATTATAAGTAACACTCGTATATACGAAGAGTATAGAACAATGATCATTCGGTTGATGAGAATACACTAACTGCTACCCGCGACTCGCTCGTATGTTCAAGGCAGACTGATTAACCGACTGATTTCTAACGTTAGTATGAATATCGTTCAGATTTCATTTATCCGATTCTGAGTATGTATTTGTTAAAAATGATTATGCTATTCTTCATTGACTGTCTTTATAAATACAATACCAATCAACTATCCCAGTTGAACAGTACCGATACCGGCTCCAGACCCGAGGGAGCGAACACAACCAGAGACCAGGTACCCCACTCGCTGGTGAGCGCCGGCTGTAGACTCACTTGAAGTAATCGTTGACGCCGAAGACGACGAGAGTCAACGCGGCGCCGGCCAGGTCCCGCACGCGGCGTACGTGCGCGCCCAGCGACCCCGCCCGCACGTGCCGAGCCGCCTCCTCCGCAGTACACACGTACAGCGCCAGAGAAGCGCGCTCGCTCTGCGGGCCTAGCTTCGCCTGAATACATAACTCAACTTTCATTAAGTTCCTTTTTTGCAAAGGGCTAAAAACATCTCGTCTTTTTGTATTAAAAGTGTCCTATTTACAAAAATATTCGATATGTGGAATCATTTAGTATCACCAGTATTTATATCATAAATACTGTCAGTAGAGGGTAATTTAGTTTTAGTTTTTTTTTTTAGTTTACCTATGTTTTGACTACTATTAACAAAATTAATACATCATTTTATCTTACTTTAAAAGACAGATAATGTAACCGGTAAAAAATAAAAAGAAATGTTGACAAAAAGATTAATATTCAAAATATCACATCAAACCTTTAAAACACTCTCCTGTAAAATTAGTAAGTTTTAAAATTATACAGATTAAATACGAGAAGACAATCTGTCTCAGGCATACCTATACATGCTCATATGTTTTTCAAAATCCATTTTAAAGCTAATATGGACATATGACATGCAGCCCTGGAAAACTGCTAGCAATAGCAACGTTGAAATCCTTGAATGGTTTCAAAATAAAACTATAAGAACAATGCTAAAAATACCGCATTACATAAGCTAATCTTTCGAAATCGTTGGGTTAATACGTCATACGTGGTGGTTAATACGTCTGATGCTGAGTGTACTTGTATTGTGTGTGTGCTCTCAACACCCATAAATAAAGCAACAAATAATTTGAAATTTGTCAATAGCTACTAAACAAAAAAGATAAAGAAACTTGTTTTCCAAACAGATGATAATAAGGCACTTAAATAATATGTTTAATTTATTTTTAAGAACTGAACAAAAAGGTATTGATAACACGTATCATCTATAATTGAAAATATAAATAAAAATTAACAAAAATCTTCTGAAAAAAAAAAGGAAGGCAGTGATTTGTCTTATCTATATGACTTTGCTTTTTTAGGTAGAAATAATAGAAAAAGATTCATTCATTTTAGGTCTAGTTTGTGTTTTGTCATCAATAGATCATAAATAACATACCAGTCCATCATCATTGATCAAGGTCTGCGGCACCTGCCTGCTCCACATGACCAAAGCGGGATCGCAGATACTTGATGTGGTTATGAGATGGGCAGAGGCAGAAGTCACCTCCCGTGAGACGTCCGCCATGTACCAAGCTTCAGCTAGCACAGGATGGATCTCCACGTACATATACTAAACGGGATATTAAGAGCAAAATTAATGTAATTAATACGTACGAGGTGAAGTCTTAGTTTCCTGGAATGTGAGAACTTTCTTAAGTTATACATAGTCACTTTTTTTATATTCTACCTATGCTGGTAACCTTCAGAGGTTATATCTGTGTTACCCTAGCGTGTAGGTGTGCCTCCACAAGGTCGGCCCGCCGACTCGCCGGGGAGGCTGCGCGTGGGCTGGGTGATAGCCCACGTGCAGTTGCAGGAGGCACGTCCATGGCGATGCCTCCGGTGTTTTGGCACCGGTCACGGCCTCGCCAAGTGCCCATCGGCTGTGGATCGCAGCGGACTTTGCTTCCGTTGCGGTCAGGCTGGGCACAAGGCAGCCTCTTGCAGCGCCGCCACGCCACACTGCGTGTTGTGCGACGCTGCGAAGCGGCGGGCCGATCATCGAGCCGGAGGCCCGGCCTGCTTCTCCGCCCCCTCTTCCACAAAGAGGCGGCGTGGCGGGAAAAAAGAGAAGAAAAAGGCAGAGAAAGAGCCGGCTGCACGTGAAGCAGCCGGCCCGTCAGTTCCCGCCGCGGCCGTCGAGCCGCAAGGCGGGACGGAAGACGAGGGAGCGATGTATGTGACACCTCAATAATGGGTCACGTCCATCGCTTCCTCCAAGCGAATGTGAACCACTCCGCCAGGGCGCAGGATCTCCTCGTCCACACCATGGCGGAGTGGTTCATCGACATCGCGATCGTCGCGGAGCCATACTTTGTACCTCCCGACCGGGAGGATTCCTGGGCCGGAGATGTCGATGGCTCTGTGGCGATCGTGATGCGACAGTNGAAGATTCAAGTGGATTCATAGTAACAGAGCAGTGAAGTGTGTAGAAGTAATTAATTGTAAGGATAACACTTTTCCAGCTGGTAGGTACAATCAGTTGTTAGAATAAATCATATAAATAATGGTGCCGTAATTTTTTCTTATTTTACACAATTTCCACAAAAACACAGTATTTTCGTTTCAACACACAACTACCCACTACTACACCAACATATAGGTAATATGTTACGCGTAAATCTCAAAAAAGCTACCACAGCGCTGTCTACGCTATCCTTAATTGATTAATACCTACGTTAATAGAGATTGTCTTAGGCATTAAGACTGATAAACTCTGGTGCATTAAGCTCAATAAGTACCTAAATAAAATACATAATTTAGACTTAAAATTTATAATCTCACACTAGTGAAATATATTTGAAAGTACGTACTTTTTTCGATGCTCCAGTGAGAATCTTATTATTTATATTTGTGGATTTTAGAGATTTTTTATTGATAACCTTTAATTCCTCGGTGACCACATTGAGTAATTTATCCAACCTGTAAATTAAACCAATACTTGATTAATCCTTTTGAATTATGATTATATTTTATGTGTATGGTACCTATTGGATAAAAATATTTTGATATTAATTTACCGTGAACATAAGAAAACATCGGGAGGGTTAATTAGTATGTGTGCAATTCTGCGACTGAAAAGTTTGCACAACAACTTTGTTTTGTTTTTCTGAGAATTTTTGATAGGTTTTGTTTTATTGCAGTGCTTTCTATGGTAAGACCTGAAAAATTATGAGGTATTTTATAAATGAAGGCAGCATTTTATTTTGAATTCTTTATTTGTACATCTTTTTTTTTTACATGTTTTTTCATAGTTTTTATGTTCTAAGGACATTCAATTAAAATCACTTATAATTCAATATTTAAATTAATAATATCGTTTTTTTTTTCTATGGACATTTTGAAAAAGGAAATATTTTCCAAAAAATATTTGAGAACGTTAAAGCTAGTCATTAACGGCCACTAAAATAATTAATTGCATGTAACTGTTTTTACGGTTACAAATCATTAAGTATTCACTTAAATGAAAAAAAGATATTATTTTATATATCTATTGATTGTAATTATAAATTGAGTTAATTTTTTTAATATAATAATAACAATTAAATAGGTACCTTAGATACCGGTACCGGTACCTACCGTATACAACTTCTAACCCAGAAACGACGGAATAAGATGGACGTACTTATATACTTATATATACCCCTTGAGAAATTGGAGAAGACACGACCGCTATCCAAATTAATATTTATTTGGGTAAACCAAATTAATTTACTATAGATTAATGTAAATAAATCGTAAAACTCGCCTCTTCAACGAACTGGCGTGCTTAAAACTACGAATCGCATCTGGGATACGCACTATTGGATACTCGTCCATCACATATTTCCTTAAGCGTTCCACCTTAAACATGTTTGAGTTATTTTTACATAAGTAAATCAAATTCAAATCGAGCGTTATTTCAAATGCATACTTAACAATTTTGTGTGGTCACGAATGACTAAGGTTTTACTCGTCAACGTTTGAATATTGTAATGAGCTTTTAAAAAAGTTCTCAGTCCACTCGACCTACGACTCATGAAAACCGATGAAAATACTGATTGAATGATAATTGATACATTTAAATTATAAATTATTAATACCGCAAAAATGGACAGCTTGTCGTAATTTTCTCTCCAAGTTTCAAGACATCGTCGTTTAGCTGGAATCGCCAATTCAGCTATTCTCATTGAGCATTTCGGAGCCCGGTAACTGAATGAACTTGCTTTCATTTTACTCGACAGTTTCTTGTGCTTCATTACATTATTACTTCTGTGTAAAACCGATTTCGTTTTGACAATAATAATTAATAATAATAAAAATTATTTCGCATTAATCAACAGTTTGAATGAAACGTTACAGAAACACTTACTTATATCGTTTGTTTTCAGAACATTTGTTTATTATATTACCAACGTTGAAAGTGTTTTGAGTTTGATACCTCAAGTCTGTCGGTTTTTCTTGTCTACATTTAATTCCTTGTAAAACATGTGTATCAATTGAACTAGCGGCATACCCATTGGTCCAGTGTTTGTCAATGTATGTATTTTCAGTATTATAAGAATCGCCTATTAGAACGATGTACAAATTTAGATTCGGTTTAAATTCGGATCTATAATAATGTAAGCTTTATATATGTCTAAAAATATGTTAGAAATTTATTCTCATGACGTAACAATATTTTTTAGTTTTGTTTATCTTTTATGTTCTACGAGTAGCCTACGGCACACTTGTAGTTAAATGGGTACCGTCTCTCATGGACATCGGCAATGCTAGAGGCATTGCCAAGTCTACCATAAAATTGTAAAAAAATAGTTAAAAGTTTGTTTAAGATCATGATTTTTTTAATCATTATATATTTATAGTTTCGAATCCAATAATTTACTGTCGATTAGCCGAACAAAGATTCATTTATAGGGAAATTGACAATTTTCGACAGCTAAGAACGTCTTGAAATACAATATTTTCTAAAAATCCATCTACTTTATTCTGCTAGGTACTTTATATCAATCTCACCGAAATTATAATCTACGTCATGGGCCATTCTATACGAGAGAACTTAGAATTTTGAAACATGTGAAATTACTAGCTTTAACTTAGAGTAATATTTTAGTGAATTTAAAACATCACTGAAGATATCTATTTTAATTTAAAAATCTACATAGCCATGACTGTGGACATAAGGTGAAGTATAAGGAAATAAAACTCATTACACCACTCATTTCTGGGTGCCCGAAATTTGAACCCATAAACACCGGACCAGAAATACATATTTTCTTACTTTATGAGAATACGATTCACCAATCTCGCGGAGAGATACCTACTGCACACGCCCGCATCTACGAAAAATTTGTGAGTAAATGTGTAAAACGCAGGTGTAAGTTTTTCGATAAGATCACATTGTGAAAATATTTATATGACTAACGGGTTTGTTTGCTCTTTTCCTGGGTGTTAAACCTCTAAGTATGTATGTATGTATTTTAACTAAATATGTGTGCTGCTCAGTCTCTAGTTCCCATAGTATCTACAGGGAATTCGATTTTGGGGCCAGACGACTGTGTGTACGATTTTTTTCCGATTATGTATTACTATTGTTACATCGGTATGAGTAACGCCATCTGTCATAAAATAGCAGAAACGAATATCAAAAGAACTAGTCATATCAAGAACGCTCAAGAAGTGTAACGCCGTCTATTATCAAGGAAATAACGGAAACACATATCGAAACGACTAGTCCTACCGGGAATATTCTCGATAGCTGTAGACTTGTCGTGTCGACTATACAAGCGTTGCAGAGATGACATGAAGGCAGTACCCTGGTAACCGTACTCGTCGAACTCGGCAAAGAGTTCAAGCAAGAAGCAGCTGCTCTTGAGTTGTTAGGTCTCCTTCGGAGGCGCTTGGGCAACTGTTAGCAAATCCCATCCCTTCTGGCTGAGCCTATGCTCGCCCACCTGTCCTAGTGAAACTGGAAAGGCCTCGCGCCCACCAGTAATCCTTCAATCATAAAAAATATTAAGGAATGGAAACAGAGTGTGGATCACCTCAAGTGAAGCGAAAGAAGTGGAGTGCAAATTGTAAAGTTTCGTTAAGTGTTCTAAGTGTTAAATAGAGTTTTGTAGCAAACCGACCGGTACGTCACTCTCGCGGCCGTATGCCCGCTCGCTATACATAGTTAGCATCTATGTCAATCTTTTCAACAGTGTATAATCTATGTTCCGGGCGCTTCCGTTTTGAGTGTGAATAGCGTGCGCCCGCGTCTAAATGTAATTATTGTTTAAAATTGAAAATTGTTTGTGATAAAGGAAGATTAAAATTCGANTATGTCAATCTTTTCAACAGTGTATAATCTATGTTCCGGGCGCTTCCGTTTTGAGTGTGAATAGCGTGCGCCCGCGTCTAAATGTAATTATTGTTTAAAATTGAAAATTGTTTGTGATAAAGGAAGATTAAAATTCGAAATTCGATATTGGTGACTAACCCATAGTTTTAAATACCCCTGAGATCTACCCCTCACTATAGTTTATAATTTGTATTTGGGTGAATGTTTTATTTATCCCGAACCCCAACGCGTAACACTATTAAACACGTACCTATAGATCGTGTCCAAGAACGACTAAGTACCGTGTCAATATACCTAATTACTCAGTGTCATAAATTTTTTTACTGGTGGTAGGACCTCTTGTCAGTCCGCACGGGTAGGTACCACCACCCTGCCTATTTCTCCCGTGAAGCAGTATGTAATGCGTTTCAGTTTGAAGGGTGGGGCAGCCGTTGTAACTATACTGATAGCTTAGAACTCACATCTCAAGGTGGGTGATGGCATTTACGTTGTAGATGTCTATGGGCGCCGGTAACCATTTAACAATAGGTGGGCTGTGAGCTCGTCGTAAACAGTCGACGTCACTCTAAGCACGTCATTTCGAATCCTTCCGATCAACTATCGGTGCTTTTAGGTACCTCAAGCACCGGCCGCCGTTGTTGTCGAACTCGTCGCTTGCGACCAAGGGTTCGCCGAGCAAAACAACCCTTAGATACAGTCCACTGAGTTTCTCGCCGGATTGTCTCAGTGGGTCGTGTTTCCAATCCGGTGGTCCGCGACTACGAATCGCGGGCATGAGGATGTTTTGGGCCCTACCGTAGTAAGCTTTTGAAGTCGTCGTGGCGTAAAGGTTAAGACGTCCGGTGCATTCGTGTTGAGCGATGCACCGGTGTTCGAATTCCAGTCGGGTACCAATTTTTCTAATGAAATACGTACTTAACAAATGTTCACGATTGACTTCCACGGTGAAGGAATAACATCGTGTAATAAAAATCAAACCCGCTAAATTATAATTTGCATAATTACTGGTGGTAAGTCCTCTTGGGAGTCCGCACGGGTAGCTACCACCATCCTGTCTATTTCTGCCGTGAAGCAATAATGCGTTTCGGTTTGAAGGGTGGGGCAGCCGTTGTAACTATACCATGAGACCTTAGAACTCATATCTCAAGGTATGCAAGGCATTTATGTTGTAGATGTCTCTGGGCTCCGGTAACCACTTAACACCAGGTGGGCTGTAAACTCGTCCACCCATCCATGCAATAAAAATTAAAAAACGACTCTCCTGCACTCTTACACCCGACTTCCGATCTCCGTCCGTGGTTAGAATGCGGACAGAGTAGGGGTTTTCCCGCGGTAAACACTACAACCAGACTCCACGGTGCTACCCCGAGGACGCCCAACACCGACGGGTCGTCGGGGCAATAGTCGATGACCAACGACGCCGGTCTCCGCGATACAGTGGCCTTACCATGGACTATAATGAAGTAATATTTAATTTAAGGACGACTTGTAAAAAATGCATACCTTTATTTGTCTAGAGAAAAGCAAAGTAAGTTTAAATTTTATCTTTCATCCAAGTTCATTCCAAGTTCGACTTTAATAGGGAAGAGGTTATAAAAATATATACTAGTATTTACTATTTACTAATTATATACAATTACTATTTATTATTACTATTATTTAATACAAAATTTAGTAGGTAGCGTCTGTTTTCGTTATTTTGAAATGTTGTAATTTTTTTTTATTGTTTTTACTTAAGTGATATAATTATGTACTACCTAGTTATGCCCGGGACTTTGCGCGTGTGTCCTTAAGTTGTCCCATTCGAATACAATATTAAATTAAGCCATGTAACTTATCCATAGACGGGTTCAGAAAACTAATACTGTCATTTACCAAGTACCTACTACGCGCTTATAAACTTTATGGAAAATGAAGATACCAAATTTTATATTGTTTTTGTATGAAACGACTAGCTTGCTCACGATTTAATTTTTGTTTAACAATTTTGACATGATCTACATAGTCTCAATGGTTCTCTTTGTAGCCACGTTTCAGCTTGATATACCTACCTACTGTGGGACACCATGTATATTGCCAGTTTAATTTTTTTTCCTACTTATGCTGATAGCCTTGAGAGGCTATTTCAGTTTCACCCTAGCGGACTTGAAACCGGAAGTGTTGATAATACTGGTTCTAGTGATAGCAGTGCTTCGCAGAATTTACCATCGGATCGGAAACGCGACCCGCTGAGAAGATCCGGGAGAAACTCAATACGCTGTATTTATGGGTTAATTTACTCGTCGAGCCCTTCGTCGCAAGTGACGGGTTCAGTGAGGACGGTGACCGGTGCCTAAACCTCAAAGCACCGTTAATGGATCGGGAGGATCCGTAATAACGTGCTTAGGGTAACGTCGACTGTTCAATATTCGGTCCACAGGATCGGGTAAGCTAGTTTAATAATTAAATGAGTTATTACTATACCAAAATTTACAATGTAATACGTAAAAGCGGTTTGACATTACTATGTTTAAGTGTACTCTTTGAAAAATTTTAGAATGCTATTTATTATAACTAACAAAGAATTAAAGTTTCTGTTAACATTCATACTTGACAGGCTTACGATTGTCAGGTTGATACTGTTATATTATTCAAAATTTATTTTTACCACATAATACCAACAAATTACTAGGTAGCAACTCGTAATAAATAAAGATAGAATTTTAGTTTCGAATAATGCCATTTAAATTAGGTTTAAGAACTCATAGAATAATGCTGATTTTTGCAAAAAAAAATTGTTGTATTTGATGTAAAGTTTCGCGAATTAAATTAAAGCATTCAAGTCACAGCGTGTGGTATACCCGCGCTACTGACATAATATTTCGATTCATATTCTAACAGCAATAGAATCAGTGAACTGATGAGCTAAATCAGCTACTGATATTCTATTCGTTACTAGGGTGACTTAGTATAGCCGATATAGATCTCTTAAATCGCTCACTCAGGAGTTTATCACAACTCTAATTCCCAATCGCGTAGTGTCTCTATGATGTAATCTGTGGTAAACTGTGGTTGGACAACAATTTTCTTTGTGATGAACACAATAACACAACGTTTTGCGACGAGAAAAAAATTAATACTACTGTACAGTTTTAATGTGCTTTAAAAATAAAATTTAAAAAGTATGTAGGCATAGTAAATATTAAATATACAGCAGCAAAAAGAATCTCCAAAGGCTGTTAATGCGTAATAAATTTTACATATTGCCTGATAAACATTGTGTATTTTAAAATCAAAATTAATTTAAACAATGTGGTCACATCTGGAACGTGGAAGCTCTCCGGTGGATTGGTGTGAATCAAATTATTCCATATCTCCTTTGATAGCAGAATTCGTTAACACTGTAAGTTCTCTTAATATTTCTACAAAAATAAAAAGTTTATATTTGCATACATTCTCGTAATAAAATGCGCAGTTCAAAAATTTTCTCATGTACAATAGTTTATTTTAAAATTTAAGCAAATAAAACATATTTATACACTACTTATTGTTAATTAGACTTACTCAAAGAACAAAATAAAAATTAATATTTTTTTTAGGTGAGCAATATTTTGTTCTTTCTGTTCCCACCAGTGTTGATTCATCTTTTCCAAGAATATTCAAAATTCTTCAATCCTGCTATCAATGTATTATGGGTTCTGTTGATGATTGTTGGACTTAGTTCAGCTTATTTTCATGCAACTTTGAGCTTAGTGGGTAAGGAAATTGAATTTAAAATTGAATGAAAGTATTTTCATATATATATTAAACCATTATTCTTATTTATAAGAAATTTAATTTTTTAGGTCAGTTATTAGATGAACTTGCAATATTGTGGGTATTTATGGCAGCATTTGCTATGTTCTTGCCTAAAAGATATTTTCCGAAATTTTTGGGAGGAAACAGGTGAGTTATCAAAAACAACATAGTATAGTTTTGTTTCACACATTCATGAAAATAAGAATACAATAAACATAGCTGAAATGAAAATAATCATAAAATCTAGTGAGAACCCCTTCCTTTTTTGAACTTGGTTAATAAAATAAGAGGCATTGTGGTTTATTCAATGACAAAGAAAAGTTTGTTTACAATGATATCATAGAATTCAAACAAAGAGCTTTGTTATCTTTTCCACCAATTATGGTAATTAGTTGTATAATTAACAATACTGTAGTCATGCTATGCTTCTTCACATGTAAATGCAACTGCTAATCATTTCGATTACTGCCCTAACCTTGAGACACTGGGTGCTTGGTATATTGAAATAAAAATTTATGTTGATGATTAATGACCGAGTACATTATTTCTATCGACATCTCTCCCTCATGCGAGCATTAGATGACATTTATCCAATGTTCAGTCAAGTTGTAACACTCTGCATGATCTAATATAAAATGTATCACATATACCATTAAAACACAGACTTGAATTCTATTGGAATAGATTAAACTGGCATGTATGCCAGTTTATGATTTTGATAAATTTAATTAGTGCAGAAAACTTCAGTCACCTGTCTGTATTCAGGAACAGTTTAAAAAAACCTGGTTTGAGACATTTTTTTATTGCCTTTGTAGGCAGACGAGCTTACGGCCCACCTGATGGTAAGTGGTCACCGTCGCTCATGGACGTCAGTAATGCCAGGGGCAGAGCCAAGGCGCTGCCTACCATAAAGTACTCTCCGCAAGCCTCGTTTGAAGAAGGACATGTCATAGCGCTCGGAAAACACAGTGGAGGGGAGTTCATTCCAAAGCCGGATGGTACGTGGCAAAAAAGATCTTTGGAAACGCACTGTCGATGAACGCAGCAGTTCCAGATAATATGGATGAACTTTGCTCCGATGGCGGGAGGTGCGATGATAAAAAGGAGATGAGAGGATCATCTCGAATAATTCCTCAGAGCATTCCCCATGGACCATGCGGTATAAAACACAGAGAGAACCGAAGTCCCTCCGTAGACCCAGAGGTTCCAAGCGATCCGCGAGAGCAGGACTATCGACCATCCGAACAGCCCGTTTCTGTATGGAGTCAAATGGAAGTAGCTGGTATTTGGGAGCCCCAGCCTAGAGGTGAGAGCAGTACTCCACGCGAGGCCGGACCTGCGCTTTATAAAGCGCAAGTCTCTGTCCAGGCGTGAAATACCGCTTCGCTCTGTTGAGGACTCCCAGCATTTTAGAGGCCAACTTGGCTTTGCCTTCCAAGTGCCTTCCAGAAATTGGACATCGCTCGAAATGTCGACCCCAAGTATCCCGATACTCTCGGAAGGTTGCAGGGATACTCCTTGGAATTGCGGCGCAATGACAAAGGGGTCATGGCGCATGCAAATGCATGCCATCAATAGATAGCATGTCATTTATATGCAATATGAAAAGCGTGGGGGAGAGCACCGAACCTTGTGGAACACCAGCGTTGATGGTCATGGTATCACAACGACAACTGTGATGCTCCGTCCATCCAAAAAGCTAGCGATCCACTTGCAGAGTCTCTCAGAGATCCCGTAAGTTGGAAGCTTCGATAGAAGTGCCCTATGCCAGACCCTGTCGAAGGTCTTCGCGATGTCAAGGCTCACAGCGAGAGCCTCGCCCTTGCTTTCCAAGGCTTCAGCCCATTTATGTGTGAGGTATACAAGAAGATCGCCAGCTGAGCGACCATGACGGAAACCGTACTGCCAGTCACTGATCAGCTGGCGATCCTCAAGATACTTAAGAAGTTGGATGTTTATGATTCGCTCCATCACCTTGGAAAGCAAGGAAGTTATCGCGATAGGTCTGTAATTCGAGGGGTCCGACCGGTCACCCTTTTTGGGGATAGGGTGGACATGAGCAGTCTTCCATGAAGACGGAACTCTGTTGGTATTGTACGAGAGGCGATATAGACGCGTTAGCGCGGATGTCAATTCAGGGGCGCATGTTTAATGTGCAATTAATGGCATCAAGAATTATAGAAGAACAATTCAACAATAAGAATGTTCAAGAACCAGAATCATAATTTTGAATTACATATTATATAAATACATTTAAAATAACATAAGCCATGAACATAATAATGCAATGAAAACCAGTTTTTTGGCCGATAGTGTTTAATTTCAAAAATAATATACCTGAAAATAAAAATCAAAACAAAGATTTATATCCCGTAGGCTTTTTATTTTCAGACTGCTTTTACTATTACGATTCGTGAATACCGAAGAGAAAACAATATTTTTATTAATACTATGGTCAATATTACTTTTTTTTCAGGAGAATACTTGCACTGTACTCCAGTGTATTTTCGGTCATGTCGACTGGATTTCTCGTAATGCATCCAGCAGCTAATGCGTTCGCATTAATGACACTAGCTTTACCCGCCATGGGATTCTTGTGCAAGGAATTGACCAGGTAAACACACTAGTAACCTTCATAGATGGACGTATTGTCATTAAATTCAAAAGTGACTCCGCTAATCACTTATCCGAACTCGACAGGGCAACGCAAAGCCGCCGTTGCCCGAAATATGTCTTGTGAGACCCCCTGGATTCGGTGCTTTTAGGCCTCAAGCACCGGTAACCGTCCTAACTACTCGCCTAATCGCCGCGAACTAATCGCCGGATCTTCTCAGTGGGTCGCGATGGCTATCCGGTGGTAAATTCTGCAAAGCACTCTCTTGCTAGGGCTAGTGTTAGCAGATTCTCTCAGGTTGGGTCCGTGAGCTCACCTACCCGTCCGGGCGTAACTGGAATAGCCTCTTAGGCTACCAGCGAATAGGTAGGGGAAAAAAAGCGAGTTTTTTTTATGGTTTAGATGGATGGACGAGCTCGCCACCCACCTAGTGTTAAATGTATACCTAAGCCCATAGATATCCACAACGTAAATGCCGCTACCCACATGACATGAATGTTATAGACATGAATTTTAAACCTCAGTTTTATTGTTACAACTCTAAAATCTCCCATTCTACAAACCGAAACACATTACTGCTTCACGGCAGAAATAGGCAGGATGGTGGTACGGGTGGTACCTGCCCGTGCGGGAACGCAACACGTCCTACCATGAGTAAAAATGAATTCGGTTCTTTGGATTTATTTCAATTAAACTATATACATTTTGAACTCATGTGCCCTTTTAGTCTACGATAATATAATAATAATGATGATAGTTTAGCTCGTTGGATTCTTTTGAAAATGATATATTAATTGTACTTGTGCCTATGATGATGGGTCTTTGTTTTCTTGGTTTTGAGACTAGAAGAAAGGCTGAATACTGAATAGTTTATCACTATTCCGACATCTTGAGATATAAAATCGAAATATAAATGTATTCAGAAGGCTAACGTACTCTTGAAATGAAACCCATTTTACGTAACGCTAATTAAGTACTTCTATTATGGTGACCCCCAAAAGACCTATGTAATCTGTAGAAAGTATTAAGCTAACTGAAAATTCTGTTTAAATAGTCCGTATTCATTGTTTAGGATTCCTTAAGTATTATTACATTATTCTTTAAATTGCATATAAATGGCTATGGTCAGGTTAAATATTTAGTTGTCTACCCAGCATTGTTGATGCTGAGGTGTCGTCTACTCCCTATCCGGTTGGTAGGTAGCCATTACCACCAGCCATTACTACCATTCTGTAGCCATGCTATTCGAATCTTCTGTACCGATTTTCGTATCGTCTTTGAATATGAATTGAGTGTAAATATTATAATACTCAGTATGTATTAATTTATTAATTGTGTTAATTTATGAATCAATTTGTACAAACAAGAATTTAACAAGAAAGAAAAGTCTCGAATTTATGAGTCACGCTTGTTTGAAATAAGTTTAAAGCCACCGGCTTGGGGTTACACATCGCAGAAATGGTATTTCGGGTTCACTGTCCTGACTTGACTTGTTCCGAACGGTTCAATGTGAGATTAAGACGTTAAAAAAATTAAAATAATAATGTAAAAATGCGGTTAGATAGTTAGTCAGAAAATGTTAAAATATGGTAATGTGTAGGCACGCTAACGATGTTTTCGTCCCACTTTTCAATGTAACATTGTAACCGTTAACTAATCGTGTTACGTTAGATTATTTGCTAAACCCCTATTACAATGATATTAAATGAATGCAGAACTACAAATCTAATGATTACATTTCGTTATTAACTTTCGTATAAGGATAAGACAAACTTTGTATTTCAAATATTTTTACGTTTTCGCAATACGTAGGTACACTTGAAACCATTAGGGCCTGTGCACACCACGTTTTTCGCGTCGACGGCGCGCTTTTATCCTACAGAGCGATTTGTTGTCGTCTGTATCGATACAAACGCGTATTTTAATTTATACAGGTGTGCAAAGGTCTACAGGCTGCGTCTGACTTGCGTGCGTATCGCGTCTGTATCGCTACGAACGCGCGTCGACGGCGCGTTTAAAAAACGTGGTGTGCACAGGTCCTTAATACTGTTTAATTTCACGTTTATTATTTTCATTCTTTATTACGTCAGACGTTTCGAAAGAAAAAACGCGGCTTTAAATTTTACCAAAAAAGTTTTCATTAATGCAACGTATTTATTGTGTATAATAATAATAACTTTAAATTATTTTTTATGTAATAGCTTCATAATGTTCCAGAGTTAAATGCGCTCGTGTGTACCGTCTCGGACTACGGTGTGTCGCTATCTGCTTCCTCGCAATGTTCTGTTGGATTATCGACCGTGTGTTTTGCGATGCTTGGCTCTCTATCAGCTTCCCTTACATGCACGGAATCTGGCATGTACTAATATTCATCGCCAGTTATACAGCACTCGTGCTTTTCGCGTATTTCAATGTCTCCGAGGAAAGGCCCGAACAAAAACCTCAATTGAAATATTGGCCGAGAAATGACTTTGAATTAGGCATACCTTATATAACCATAAAGCATCCTTGCAAAAAAGATTATAATATAGCAATATAGTATTTTTCGGTATTTGTCTTGATTTATTAAAATTTATTGTGTGTAATGATAGTTGAATGTTTTGTGATAGCAAATTAATAGTGATTTATGAGATCTAATTAGGAAAAGAACATGTATATTTATTCCTAATTTTAGATGTCTTAGTCTAACCAAAGGAAAAGACGCACATTGTATTTGTATCGAGCGATAAGACTGTGCTGATTGATGTTAATATCTCGCAGATAGTTACCAATTTCTCCAAGGAAATAGACACGTAATACATGTTCCAGAGTGACTTTTTACATGTGAACCCGTACGGGTGGGTTCCACTGCCTATTATTACTGTTGCGAAGCATGAATACCGGTTAATCGTGGTTGTATGGCATCGCTTGTTATTAATCATAATAATAAATAGGTAAAATAAAAGTGTCAGGTTTATATAAACACGTCGTAAATAAAACAAATTTTGTATATGTAAAGGAACTAATCTGTGATTTGTTGTGTAATATTTGTGATAAGTTCGTATTATCTGTTGTAATTAGGATCTAAGGAGAACACAACATAGTGCAACATTTTCGCCATACCAATGTATACTCTATCCGTCCGCTATGCCAACAAGATGAATAACATGCTAATTACAAACCGATCACGATTTCATCTCCGCCCTTCAAGGAGAGAATCACTACGATTTTATTACCCAATTACTGAGATACACAAATAACAATACTCTACTTGACTATTGACAAAATGTGCTTTTTTTATATAGCTGTTTGGCCGCCTTTGGATCCCCTTGTGTCCTTCGCTTACAACAAGACAAGTTTAGTTTGTAACCCTCGGTAGGTCCTGAAATAAAGCCATTGCCTGAACGACTCTTCAAACGTGTCGTCAGTTATTTGTATTGACGAAATAACAAAGTCTGTCTATGGCGGTTGTTCCGGCATTCCACTAGTCTCGGTGTTATCATGGTAGTCCTCAGAGCGAATTGGACCTTCAACTTAGATTTGACCTTGGTCAGTTAAACCCGACCAAAACGTAAGTTTGCAGTTAGGTACAGTACCGAGACAGATCGACCGACCTTTTTTTCCTTGAAACCAAGATGCGAGTGAGCTCCAGTTTAAGGTCTCAACATGTCAAGGGAGTACTTTTCGTTAGGGTTTGGTTTTATCTTTTACAAATAGCAGGCTATATTGTATCGAGTACTGATGTCCTGTGCACCTTTTTTATTGTTTCCTACAAACGAAAACACTAAACTTTATTGATTGGAGCCATAAGGATTGCGAACATTGGAGATTCCATATTCCAAGGTAAACGCTTTGCATTTTCAGAGATCAATTATCTACTGTACTATCAGATAGTGGAATGTATTGCACTTCGTGGTGTTTTCGGTGTTTGAACGCTTGTTCAGAAGGGCTTTAGAAAGTTCTTTACTGTAGATGATATCGGGCATTGTTCTTGTGATTGCTAGTGACCGTGAGTGATGGTAACCACTTTTTAACTAACATTCATATTAAACCATTGCATGATTAATCTAAACTTGTTAAACGGACCATAGTTATAGGTGTAGGTGAGGATAATTTTATTTATTCATAAAAGTATTATTTATACATAGTTTAAATTAGATATATAAACAATTTTATATTGGTATGTATGTAAGTAGTTGAGTGTTAATTAAATTGTTTCTGAAAATGTTGTATAATATAATCGATGTATAAATTTTGTTCCAAAACACATATTTGTTTAGCGTAATGTGTAGGCAACTGTTTTGAAATTGTTTTGTTGACGCTGTATTAATATGAAAACTTGGATTTTTTGAGAAAATGACATATTGAAATAAGTTTAGAAAAATTTGTTTTTTCAAGGAATCAGACTTTTTTGGCAAGTTGACAACATTGGTATGTATGCAATGATATTTTATATTATGTAAAAGGAAGCAGATATGTTTCAAGCGCACGTCAAGTGAAGACTCCAAAACAGGCCAATTGGGACGTTTCGTCTTTAGTCGCGTCTAAACAAATGCAATAATAACAAGTGCAATCGTTCCAATTATAGCTATCTTTTTTACTTACGCGCTTATCCCATCTTTTGTACTTTTCATTAATGCTACTTGTCAACATGTGTGTGCACTATATCGGTAGATATGTAGATATATATGGCGCGATCAGATTTGAAGAGTCAGTTATTATGAAGATAACATATCTGTTGCATAAAAAATCATTGTATGTATGAGAAATGAGAATGTATTTATACCTATGTAAATAAAGAAAATTCTACTTTCTGTCCCATGATATCAAAATAAAGGTTTTGTCTTTCATCTTTACTTGTTTTTTTTTTTACTAAAAACCATACGCACTTTATACATTCTTCAATACCTTATTTTGTTTTTGGGTTAATTTCTAAAGTGTGTGAACCTTTGGTGAACAAAGACTAGTTTCGGAATTGCTGATGTCCATAAGCGATGATGACTAGTTACCAATGGGTAGGCCCTATGCTCGTCCGATTGTAACGGGGATAATAATAGTTGCATCCCCGAAATATTCTTACCTAAAATTTTTTTTTTTTTTTTTTTTTTTTTTATTGCCCTTGTAGGCAGACGAGCATACGGCCCACCTGATGGTGAGTGGTTACCGTCGCCCATGGACTTCAGCAATGCCAGGGGCAGAGCCAAGCCGCTGCCTACCGCTTAATACTCTCCACAAGCCTCGTTTGAAGAAGGACATGTCATAGCGCTCGGGAAACACCGTGGAGGGGAGCTCATTCCATAGCCGGATGGTACGTGGCAAAAAAGATCTCTGGAAACGCACTGTGGATGACCGCAGTGGCTCCAGGTAGTATGGATGAACTCTACTCCGGTGGCGGGCGGTGCGATGGTAAAAACGAGATGCCGGTATCATCTCGAACAATTCCTCAGAGCACTCCCCATGGAACATACGGTACAAAATACAGAGGGAACCGAAGTCCCTCCGCAGACCCAGAGGTTCCAAACGATCCGTGAGATCCGTGAGAAATGGAAGATATAGAATGAATAATGTTATTTTATAATTACGACCATACTTATTTATGCCGCGAAGCAGGTTCAGTTTGCACGGCAGGACAACCGTCACGCGATATAATTCAAACTTCAACGTCATGTCCCAAGATGTATGGCGGCATTCACATTGTCAAGTGTCGACTCATAAATACTAGATGGGAAGAAAAAGGGCCATCAGGCTGTTCAGCCATCTATTGCGTGGAAAAAACACATTTCAATAATATATAATAATAAATAATCGGGAACGAATCACGCACGGTCGTCCGGCTCCAAATTAGCATTCCGTGTTATGGGTACCGACACTGACATACATACTTATATACCTTTCTATATATAAATACATATAGTGTGTGCAGAAAATAGGCACCAGACAAACCTGTAAATCACACGAATGTATGCCCTATGTGGGTATCGAACCTATGACCCTCAACACAACAATCAGGGGCTTTTTAATTATTGCACCACTGAGTCAGTCGAAAACTAAAAAAAAAACTGGTTTAAATAGCAAACCGAACAATTAATTCCATCTTTTATCGTGCTGATACTGATATGACAATAGAGTGGCAATAAAATTATTTTATTCTCATTGCACCTCAATGCGTGTGCAAAATTTTCAGTTGCTTTGAAATCTTGAAGTCAGATAAAATGACTAAGATTTTGTTACATAAAGCTAATAAAATTGCTAAAAATGTCAAGATGGCAAGAAACATTTATTCAAGCTGTCTAGTTTCACTTATTCATACATTCTTCAAAACATATAAACTTTAAAATGTACACCAGGTTACAATATGGTAAAACGAACCTGATTTTCAGAACAAATATTTTATTAAAATATTCGATCATAAATAAAAATTTAAATCTGTAATTATTAGGTCATCACATAAGGTGCATAGACAATTCAGCCATTTTAATAATTTAAAATATTTTAGGAACATAATATATGTAATTATAATGTTTTAATTTTATTCTTATAAAAATTAGCTTCTTTGATCTGTCTTACTTAAGGAATGTATACATCACCTAACAATAGTAATATAAAATATTTTTCATTATAAAAACATTCAAGATTCAAGAATTTTGTTAGTCAGAATCTGAGGAAACTTNCAATTCAGCCATTTTAATAATTTAAAATATTTTAGGAACATAATATATGTAATTATAATGTTTTAATTTTATTCTTATAAAAATTAGCTTCTTTGATCTGTCTTACTTAAGGAATGTATACATCACCTAACAATAGTAATATAAAATATTTTTCATTATAAAAACATTCAAGATTCAAGAATTTTGTTAGTCAGAATCTGAGGAAACTTCATGAGAAACATGACTTCGGTGACAAGAGGAGTCAGGCTTTTTCCTAGAGTATGTATTACCACCACGGTACACAACATGATTTTTTTCAGTTTCTAGGATCTTAACCTCATGCAGTAATTGTGGTTTTTCCATTATTCTTTGAAGTTGGTCCCAGACATATATTGCGACATTTTCTGTAGTACTTGCCTGTAATAGACAATATTGTTTTAAAGAATTAAATAGCTTACTTACAGCAGTCTCTAGTCTTTTGTAAAGGAATTGGCATCAGTGCAATTATGGCATGTCATGGTCTTTAACAACATCCAGTATACCACTGCAGCAGACCCTGTGGAATTTGATTTTACCCATCTCTATATTTTTAAATAGGCAATATAATAACAATAAATTATATTGCCACCAGTAGATGTATTTACTCTTTTTTATTGGTCTTGCATATAGAACAGCTTCTGGAGTAAAAAACAGCCATATATTCATACAGTCATCTATACTGAGGAGAGGCTAATAAAAAAATTGGTAGACATAACTCTACCCACATATTTATCTATACAAATATCTAAAACATGTTAAAATGCACACGACAAACAATTTAAATTATACATACATGTGTACAATCTTAATTATATGTATACAATTAAAATATTATTTTGCTTAACCTTTAAAAGTAATGACTTACCATAGTTTTGAAGTATGGAACATCATTATCTAAATTCTTATGGTCGAGTGGTTCCAGGATGGCTGTTTTTATGTATTTCTTGAGGTCAGTTATATTCATCACCATACCAGTTTGAGGATCTACAGGACCCTTTACTGTTACAAGAACTGAAATTATTAGTCCACATTATTTTAATATTTTTGTGATAAAATGAACTGAACTTTATTATGGTAAAATTGTAAATACAATGCGATTTCTCAAAATTGGTTATAGCATGTAGTACATACATACATAAAATAATTATACAATACGTTTTTTTTATTTCTGAATAAACTACAAATAAAAAAAAATATAGAAAAAAACTGATGTCAAAAGAATAACCTACCAACATAATTATGACCGTGACCATTAGGATTGTTGCATTTACCATAAACTTTTTTGTTCTCTTCGTCACTTAAAAACGGGCTGAAAAATAATAAATTAATTATTGTGACGGTAGATGTTACCACACGTTATAAATATCCGTTTTTTTTACTGATAACCTTATTGATCTGAGTTAGAAGGTCGAACACAACTTAATATTATCATAAAATAATTTTATAAATTGAATTAATTAATACGTATTACTTTATAACCATTTACCTGTGCAGCCTATGAGCGGAACTGAAAGTTTCACGGCGTATTATTGATACAATAGGTAAAGAAGACATTGTGTAATTCAATAATTCAATAGAAAATTCAAATACAGTAAGAATCAAAAACTTAACGCATTAAATGGAGTTTTGCTTTTTTATTGAAATTATGTCAGCCTCTAGTCTGATATTATAAGAAAATTAAAATGAAGCGACTTTAAAAATAACCGGTTTTTATATCTTTCTTTCGTCCACAGAGTATTTTTAAGATACTTCACTCAGATCAAAGCTGCTCATGGTTTCGAAATTACTTAATAGGCTTATTACACTTGGCTGAATCAGACGCCTCAAGTCAGTCGCTACTGAATTCAGTCAAGTGTAATAGCATTAAGTAAGTTAGTCTACTGAATTCAGTAACAAGGAAGTTTTCTGGCTGACTGAATCATTCTCTAACTGGCGCCATCTAGGCGGGCTTCGGACAGTCTGCCGACCGAGAGGGCTGGTGGTCGTGGCGCCGACGACCGCCAGTCCGGCGTCCCGAGGGGGAGGGTGATGGGAGAGATGTGCTCCGCACTAAACGCTTCACTTTCCCCCCTTTGCCTTGTCATGAGTTCTGTCTCATGCGAGGTTTGGATGTTGGTTGTTGAGCGACAGGAGGTTTTAGTCAGTTCGACTCTGACATACCCCGCCCAGTATCCCCAGAAAAGGGCGGAAGTCCGGCGATTTCCTCCTGACCAAAAAAAAAAAAAGACTGAATCATTTAGAAGCCTAATTAGAAACGCATAACTTATTTGCTAATATTCCACACAGCAATAAATATTTCTTCACCGATATTCTTGTTTCAATTTTTATTTATTTTTGAATGAAACAAAAATCAAAAACAAAAAAGATTGTTGTTGTCTAGATAATACTGGGGCCATCCTCTTACGCACACGACACGTCTTATTTCGTCACGTTTAAACTGACAATTGATTCAGTAACTGAATTTAGAACAGTGTAATAAGAAGCTTCTAAATTTGCTTCTGAATTCAGTCGACAAATATCAGCCAAACGTAATAGGCCTATAATACAAAAAAATAGTGACATTTACGATTTAGAACTGCGACAAAACTGACATTACTGACAGGTCTCTAAATAGTCAATCATATTATTTCATATTATTTAGGATATTTTTGAACGTTCCCAGGGATAGACGTTCCCATGATTTTATTCGATTCTCATAGAATTTGGAGTTCAACAGTTGCATTGCATAGTTATGCTGGATGATTCAACTACAAAAAAAAAAAATAAGTTAAAGATATTTACGATCTGTGGAAATGACGGTAAAAGTGATGTGTCATCTTTAATCCGGTATATGTCTATGAAATTTATCAATAACTTTATTGTGAAATCAAAAGCGTTTTTATTAATATCTGTTATCCACGCAATGGAAACTGAACTAGACTACAGTTAAAATCACGATTCACGACAACGCTTTATCTAATAAATAGTGCTACTCAGCAAAATTAGATTTTTTTAGTCTGCATAATTTCGAATTAGTTAAATCTGTGTAAGGAGTTAAATCTGTGTAAGGAGTTATAGTGTACTGCATTTACCTTCAGTGAGCCACATTCACCTCTCGCGGCAAAACACGAGTACAACTCGGATTCAAGTAACTTTTTAAATTTTCGGATAAAAGGCTTATTACACTTGGCTAAATTTAGTCGACTGAATTTAGTCGGTACTGAATTCAGTGAAGTGTAACAGCATTCAGTAAGCTAGCCTACTAAATTCAGTAGCAAGGATGGTTTCTGACTGACTAAATTATTAAGAAGCCTAATTAGAAACGCATTTAGAAAAGCGAGGACTACGCCAAGACCAATTTTTTGTTGTCTAGACAATACTAGGGCCATCCTCTTATACACACGACACGTCCAACTTCGTCGCGCTTAAGCTGGCAATTGATTCAGTAACTGAATTAAGAATAGTGTAATCAGAAGTTTCTAACTTGCTTCTGAATTCAGTCGTAAATTTAGCCAAGTGTAATAAGCCTTTAACGCCACGCGGACGTCAACATGTTCTATAAAATCTCAATAAATTTCTACTGCTTTAAAGAGAGTTTAATATATTTCATGTCATCCCACAGCTGTTATATTATCTTACCTATTATAATTCAATTTGATTTCATTATTTAATCAACTCAACCAGCACAATCGTTAAATGTTACATTTTATTTAATAAACATGACTTCTATTTTTCCTACAAAATGGCATGCACTTCGTTCCCTTTGCTTGTCTTAGCCACGAATCAAATAAAAACCTCTTGTCATTTTTGAACATTGGACTTTGTAACCTAGATTTAAGTTTATTAAATTATTTAATAAATAAAAACAGATTTCCTGAACAAAATCTTGCTTATCAAAATGTTTGCACCCAATAGCAGGCATTTATTTTTGTCTGGACAGGTTGGAAACTTTATTATTATATTGAGATCCTAAAACTTAGATTATTAACCTCTAGATGAGATTAGTCTTAAAACTTGTTAATTTCAAGGGTCGAGGTCACGATGTGAGTTATGATAATTATTGTTCAATTGGATTTTAGAAATAAATAGGTGCATAAGTAATTTAGACCCATTTTTTAATATATTTTCCTAATATATTACTGAATTGTAATAGCGACTCTAATTTCAGCTGCGTCGTTTGCAAAGTACTTTAGTGCTCGCCGAGCACAACAATGAGGTACTATCTCCAGCAACCCAAAATACATTGAATGCTGCCAAGAAAATTGGAGGTGATGTCTCAGTGCTTGTGGCTGGAACCAAATGTGGACCTGTATGTTTTTATTTTGAAGCTAATTTAACAAACAATAAGTACAGTTTCGGGTTTTAGTCTTGGAACCAATTAATAATAAGTATTGGCATCTTATGTAATCTCGTTATATGAATATATATCAAGTCAATTTTAATCAGAATCCTGTAATAGAATGCCATGGTTCTGTAATTAGCTATTGTATGTGAAGGATGTCATATTTAAAGTAGAGTTACTTAAATATTAAAAATTGCTAGAATATCAAATATTAAGTACAATGTAATGTCATGGGACAGTGCAGTCAGTACTAATTGCAGAGCTTACCTATAATTGTACTATTATCATTTTCCTAATAAAAAACTTTTAAATTTGACTTCTTTCAGGCTGCAGAATCCATTGCTAAGGCAAATGGTATATCTAAAGTTTTAGTGGCTGAGAGTGATGTCTTTAAAGGTTTTACTGCTGAAACCCTGACTCCTCTGATTTTGGCTACACAAAAACAGTTCAAATTCACTCATATCTTAGCACCAGCAACTGCTTTCGGAAAGACGGTGCTGCCACGAGTTGCGGCCAAGCTTGATGTGTCACCAATAACTGATATCATTGGTATCAAGGATGCTAATACCTTTGTGAGAACAATTTATGCTGGTGAGGTCCTATTGATCATGTACATTTTGTATATATCATTTTTACATTCATTATTCATACATCTTTGTAAAGCCTCTGGCTCTATGCTCAGTGTATTTCCAGAGCTCTTTTATACAATTTATCAACCTCAACAAACTTCCCTCCATGGTATTCCTTGAGCTCTAAAACATTTCATTTTTCAAATGTGCCTTCGGGAGTGTTCTCTATGGTGGGCAATGGCAAACGTCCTTATGTAATGCCAGCAATGTCACTCAAATGTCACATGGGCCATAAGCTCATTGCCCTATGAAGGTAATAAAAACAGTCTGTTAGTTCAACTGAAATTAATGTTAATTAATGATTAATTGATTGATATTTTTAGGTAACGCTATATTAACCCTTGAGGCCAAAGATCCTATCAAGGTCATCACTGTTCGTGGTACAGCATTCCCTGCAGAGCCGTTGGAGGGAGGGTCTGCAGCAATTGATAAAGCACCTGAGGGCGACTATAAGACTGATCTGGTTGAATTTTTAAAGCAGGAATTGACCAAATCTGACAGACCAGAACTCACTAGTGCTAAGAATATTGTATCTGGTGGTAAGATATTATAGTTAAAAAATAATAATAAATAATCAATGCTTAATTTAATTGCTTGGTCTAATTTAATAAAAACTTTAAAATTAATGTAATGTAGAATTCATAGGACTAAAATTCCACTATTTAAACTCTCCTTATCTTATAGGTCTTAAAAGCAACAAATGTTCTACTGGTTCTGCTAAAATACTGCAATTATCTTACTGCATTATTATTGTACTGTAAACCCTCATAGATAGATACCAATATGCTGCCTATTTCTGTTATGTGGGTGACCTGTAAGAGTGCTCACACATCTACATAATAAAAAGATACTGTTTAAAATTATATTTAAATTACACATCAGAATTATTCAAAGTGTAATGTTGTTATTTGACAGGACGAGGCTTGAAGTCTGGTGACAACTTCAAGTTGTTGTATGATCTAGCTGATAAGTTGAATGCGGCCGTGGGTGCCTCTCGTGCAGCTGTCGATGCTGGCTTTGTACCCAATGACCTACAGATTGGACAGACTGGCAAGATTGTTGCTCCTGTTAGTATTACATTTATATTTAATTAGGTGTGCTTTCTTTGAATCTCATACACTTTAGATTTGACATTGGATACACAACTCTATCAGAATGTCACAGATACAGGGTGTATAGAACTCCTTTATGATTCCTAACACAAAAGCATACAAATTATTTAAAAAATGTATTTCTTTTTCAACTGGAAAGAAACTTCTTTTGCTCATAATATAACAAATTTCATACAAAAATCAATTGAGGTGGTAGATTTATGGTCGTAAAATGTCATAGATGTATATGTCATATAAAGCTTTTGTGAATTTAGTTTTAGATTGTCGTTTTACAATAAAACGAACTGTTCACTTTAATGCTGTCCTTGAGCGGTTCCAGTATATACAACATACTCTTTCATTATGTGTGTTGATGCCGTTCATCTAAAAGTAATCTGAAATAAATATATCTTGCAATATTTACAACAGACTTTGTTGTTCTAAATAACATATACAACACATAGTAATATTAGTAGTAAATACACACTGTAAGACAGATTAGTGTGTAAAACTTTCACAAATGAATGAGCATTATTTGCTCTTTCTTCATGTCATGTAACCGCTTAAGAATTTGAATATATTGTATTATAATTGAATTAATTATTTGGTAATAGCAAAGTAATGTTATTTAATTATTGTTCTACCAAAAAAAATTGTGTTTTGATTATATACTTTTCTAAAAAAAAAAAGTTTATTATANAAGACAGATTAGTGTGTAAAACTTTCACAAATGAATGAGCATTATTTGCTCTTTCTTCATGTCATGTAACCGCTTAAGAATTTGAATATATTGTATTATAATTGAATTAATTATTTGGTAATAGCAAAGTAATGTTATTTAATTATTGTTCTACCAAAAAAAATTGTGTTTTGATTATATACTTTTCTAAAAAAAAAAAAGTTTATTATATTGCTATTTATATATAAATTTCATTTATCTGATTATTTTACTGTCTTATTAATGTGTATTTTTGACACCTGCTCCAGGACTTGTACATCGCTGTAGGCATCAGTGGTGCTATTCAGCACTTGGCCGGCATGAAAGACTCCAAAACCATTGTAGCAATCAACAAAGATCCTGAAGCTCCGATTTTCCAGGTAAAATTAGGTGTTTAAGTCACAGTACCAAATTACTATGTACAGTAAGTATATCCAGAGGCAATGTTGCATAGTGACCGATCTTAAATGATTTTATTATTCCATTAATTTTAATATCTTATAATATTTTTAATAACGCACTTCTAAATTTACTTATCTCAAAGGCAAAAGTTCAACAGACATTTATCATTCTTTATCAATGTTAAACAAAATATAGTATTGGCAATTGCTATGCCACGTCAAATTGATATTATAATAAGTTGATGTTTAAATTATCAAATACCAATTGAAATGATAACAATTACTTCCTTTATAGAAGGATTGTTTTGTTTAACATCTGATAAGATATTCAACATCGAAACTAATGCATTAAGGTCGAAATTTTTTTTATCATTTTGTAATTTTTTAATTATTATTAGTTCTACTATTATTATTATTTATGCAACCATTTGTAGGATTAGATTTCTTAAAATCATAATTCAACATAAAATTAAAATCTTAAGACAACCTATCTAGATCATAAAAAAATTAAATATCTTTGCACGAATTCATGTAAATTGACTGTTTGCTTGAAAATACATTCTTATAATTTCAATAAAAATGAAGCAATGTGGGTAATTTTTGACCGAGACACTGGATAACCGTTTTTTGAAAAAAAAAACTAGTTTAAATAATTAACCTTTATTGTGTTTGTTTTCATTGTACAAAGTGTAGTTGAATAAACCATTTTTACTAATCTTAAATGATGTTATAAAGAATAATTATCGTTGTCCTAAAAAGCGCAATTATTGTTAACATTTTTTGTTTCAGGTGTCAGACTACGGTTTAGTCGCGGACTTGTTCAAGGCTGTTCCAGAACTGACTTCAAAGTTGTAAATACTGTTCTCAGCCATTATTTAGAAGCAAACCAAGAAATTTATATAGAAAAATAATTTGTATCTTTTGTAAATTTTATGTATGTTACCTAAAATTTGTATCTACATTTTACACTGTTATAAAAATCGGAGCTAGGTATATTGATAAGAAATAAATATCGTTTTACTGTTTTAATCTGTTTTTGCTCTACCTATTTTTATAAAAAAAAAAAAAAAAAAAAACGTTCGTGAAGCTTATCATGGTTTTAAAAATTGTCGCCCCGTGGCCGCATGGTCTGGCCGGTTTTAGTGTTCGATTTCCGGCTGAAGTCGGTATCTTAAAGTTATTAGACAGTATCCGTTACCGTGTCAGCTTAGTTGGACGTGGGAATGAGATGTTTTTTAGGGATAAAAAGTAGCCTACGACAAGCTTCTGACCTAATCGAATTACTAATAAAAAATGTCAATTCTTGCTTCGTTTCGATGTGAAAAAAGGACAAAGAAACGCAGAAATTAACTCCAACGCTTATAAAATTATATAACACTAGTATGGATTAGGTAGTATTTTTCTTAATATTAATTGTTTATTAACTTTAGTCTATTCTAAACATGTAAATATTCTGTGTAAATTTTTATCTGCTAATAATATTTATCTCTAAAGTAGTTAGTCTAACATATATTTGTTTGTGCTGTTCTTAAAACCAGAGATTCGCGTATGGAAAAATCGACCAAATTTATTTGTATTTAGATTTAGTAATTTTTTCCTTCTCTAAGCACCTGACATTTTTGTAAATACTTTGACATTGGCAAAATCAATGCCAAAGGCATTGGAGCCAAATTATCTAAAAGAAGAAGAAGAAGAATGTGGCGAAGTTTCTCATAGCACAATAAAATGTACTACGAGTGACAGATGTTTATCCGCGTGTTTCGTTTCAGTAGGTACCTAAACACCCACTGAGTTTCTCACATACATAATATACTTAATATTTCTCGCCGGATCTTCTCAGTGGGTCGCGATTTCGATCCGGTGGTAGATTCTGCGAAGCACTGCTCTTGCTGGGACTGGTGTTAGCAAAATCTCTCAAATACTCGCAATTTCTTTCTCTTGAGCCCGTGAGCGTCTACCCGTCTTCGCGAAGCTGAAATAGCCCCATAGCTATCAGCGAACAGAAAGGAAAAAAAAGTAGGTAAATTATTCCTTAGTAAATGTCATTAGAAACTATAAGCCACTTCGTCTCCGGCATCGGTCTTAATACACCAATGTGCTTAGTGCGAGTATTTTGCCTATGTTTGCCTACGTTTGCCGCTAGGGGCGCTGTTCCAACTGCATACAAATTTGAGTTAACTATTACGCTATCGAGAAAGTTAAAAAAACTCGCACTAAGCACACAGTTTTTGTGATCATTAGACAAAGAGATAATAATATTTCTATATACTTGTATAGGCCTTTTTCCCATAAGTAGTCGAATTAGCTCAATACCCATATGATCTAAGGGGCTACCACAGTGGATAGATAACAGAACTATAATGTTGCCATCCAACTTCACAAATGAGGTTGAATTCACTCTAGGTTAATAATGCGCATCTAGCATGCCTGATGTTATGACTTAAAATCATAGATTATACACTTAATATATTTGAGAATGATCGTTCAGCACCCGATGTGTCGTAAGTTCGTCTGTCTTCGTATTGTTGTTTTTATGGGGCTTTTACTAAAACGTGCGATTCGCCGTTTTATACATCAACAGAAAAAGTGAAATCAAAAAGAGTTCTATTTAATGGGTAGACAATGAAAAAACCTATAAATAAGTATAATACTCGCAAACACGATTGAAGTACGTAGGTAATTATTATCAAAGATGCTTGATTATTTACGTCTAACAGCAAACAATCAAAGTACAACAATTATTAGCGAAAAAACAACAATAAAATTTTATAGTGCAATTAGCAAGTCGATAACCAAGAACACATATTTCCTCTACTCATCGATAGATGGCGGGAGCTGCGACATTGACATTTAATTTCACAGGTGCATTCAAAACTGATGATTTTAGGGCCAACTCGAAATGCAGTCTCACTACCGAGAAGAATGGGCTAAAAACTCAGGACTTGCCCTTTTCATGTCTAATATGATGTGCACTACAACAATTATGTGCCATATTTAAAATTTGTACATACATGTGTGTACATAATATGTATTTTTGTTAGTTGATTGTGTTACACCGCCTTTATTTCCGTTACTATATTATAAATTAGAAAATTTATTTAATGATTTTATTGGACCGGCACATACCTAACTGTTAATTTTTTAAGGTCCCCAATAGCCAAAATTGCTAACGCAATTATTTTGTAGTTAATATTAAATTGATGAATATATTTTATTGTGATACCTAGTCAATGTTAAGTAAAGCGTGAGAAAATTATTTTATGTATGTTTAAGTATTGAATCCTAAAGGATGAGATTTAGTCTAATGTCTCATGCAAGGTGACGGATTTAGGTACGTTATTATGTGTAGGTATAGGCTCCCATAACCATCGAAAACTAAAATTAATCGTGATTTTATTCACCTGTTTATGTAACGAATAAAAGAAACAAAAAGTATATGTCGATACATGTGGTACCTACTAAAATACCACTTATTGTAAACATGCAACTATTTTCCTTAAATATACTTAGGTCCGGACACTGTCGGACAAACTCTTAGACTATATAAACTAGTTGCGAATGTAACGCCATAGGTATTAAACCAATAAGCTGTGGTAGTAAGTGTTCAGTCAATCATTTAGTAATGATAGTTTCAAAGGGAGTTTACATTTAGGGTTGTCAAACTTTTGAATTTACGCAAATCAGAGTTAAAACCTATTTAGTCTAGAAGTGGAGCAGATGGATACCATCACAAGTGCTGTAAACCAACAGTTCATTAGTGTTGAGAAATTCTGTTAAGGCAGTCACATATGTTAGGGGTACCATTACACTCTTAATTATTGAAGAATTTCAAAATGAGCTAATCTATAATTTGTATGGTAGCATTAGCATAAACTATTAGAGTAGCAGGGTATTATTTACACGTCACAAGCGGTACAAGCTTTACACGACACGGATGCTGGTGGCATGTAACGAATCTGAACAATTATCTTATCATATACTTATAGTTCCTGAATACACGCGGAATGCAACACGCGGTAATCAGCGGTTTGCTATTAGATGGGCCGTTAGCTCATCACAAGGGCAATAAAAAAAACATAACAATATTCTTAAAACAACATGTGTAGTCGTCGGTGTTGAGTGAAATTTAAAATTCAGACATTTTTGACAAATTTGATTTCAAATTTAAGTTACAAAAAAATATATTTAAGATTTAATTTATAATTACTATATTACTAATCCTACTTTATAGATTATCTTGGAAGAAAGAGGGCGCTATTCTCTAATTTTATTACTGTGAGGTGCAAATTTACTATAAATGTCTGAGTTTTGTTTTTAGTGTAGTTGTGATTAAACTTCTTCACAAATACATAACTAGTTCAAACATTTTGTTTGTTTGTTTGAGTTTGCTTTCCGGGCAGGTCTTCTAAAGCTTCAGTCATTCGGCCTGTATTGTTTTATTCAAAAGCTTTCTCACTTGCAGATCATTTAAAAAAATCAACAAATTTCAAATGACAACGTATGTAGTTTTTACTGGTGGTACTTCTTAGGACCTCTTGTGAATCCGCACGGGTAGGTACCACCGCCCTGCCTATTTCTGCCGTGAAGCAGTAATGCGTATCGGTTTGAAGAGTGGGGCAGCCGTTGTAACTAATATATACTGAGAACCTTAGAACTTATGTCTCAAGGTGGGTGGCGCATTTACGTTGTATATGTCTATGAGCTTCAGTAACTATTTAACACCAGGTGGGCTGTGAGGTCGTCCACCAAATCTAAGCAATAAAAAAAAAAAAAAATTGCCAGAACAGTACTGGGATGTTATTATAAAAATCATTTTCCACTTGTTTTTGATTTTTGAATTAAGTTGGAAACCCTAATATCACTTCAGTCGGTTAATCCTACACAGCCTTGTTATCTTATCATGTCGATGGCGGGGAGACCAAGGCGTCGCTCAGTGTCGCTCCGCCCTGCGACCACGCCCGCTGTTCTACCCGCTCAACGCACTACTAACACGAAACGACCTTCACGCGAATCGCTGTCAATAGGTAATCGTGAAATTAGGTAAAAGTTTTTGCGTTTAAAAATTCATGTTTCAAACGGTCCCGTTAAAATATTTTTTTTATAATATTTTTGTTCGATTGTTATTTCTAGGTGTATTTCGATCATGTTAGTTGAATTTCATTTGCCCGTCCGCGTTAATCCATACTTAATACTTAACTAGATGATGGCCGGTTTTTTTTTTGATAATGCCATCTTGTTGTCTTTAAAGCAGTTAGTTGCCTTCAATTAAGAAAAATAGTATTATTAATCGCCAATAGATGTCGGGAAGAGTTGATTATTGAAAACACGAATAAAACAACATTTTCTGAGAATAAATCGTAGCTAAATCGATTTATCGCCCCCGAAATCCTCTGTATACTAAATTTTATGAAAATCGTTGCAGGCCTTTTCCCACTTATACAAGAATTGCTCGTTTAAAGGTATAAGATTAATACTTAAATGAGAAAGTGTTTTTTTTTTTCTGCCTATGCTGATAGCCTTGAGAGGCTATATCAGCTTCGCCCTAACGTGTAGGTGAGCTTACGGGGCTCAAACCGGAGTGGTACTAACACTGGCCCTAGCAAGAGCAGTGCTTCGCAAAATCTACCACCGGATAGGAAACGCGACCCACTGAGAAGATCCGGCGAGAAACTCAGTGAGCTGGGTCTGTGGGTTGAGTATCCTTATTAAGTGTCCTTAGTACCTAAGTGCTAATTTGTCCTTATTTCATCACGACGAAACGAAGCAACTGATTGACATGTTTTTTTTTTAAATATTGTATTTGTATTGAGTCAAGAGAGTCACATGAGCTCTTTTTATCTCGAAAAAACATCTTATACTCACGGTAAACTACACTGACACTTTCCTTAACCACTCGGGAGAAAATCGCGGCCAATATCTAGTATAAATATTAAAAAAAGTGTGTGTATCCGCTCCGACGCACGACTGGAGTTTACTGGATATAAAAAATTAAACGAAACAATACGAGAAATAGTTCTATATTACGACAA